ACTTTTACTGTTTAAGGTTTCTTGTAAGTTTGTAATATTTGCAATGGTATGTATATGAGTCTTTTTAGAATATTCGTTTTCAGCTCTTGTCACTTCACTTGACATTTTATTGTCAACATATGTTTTGTCTGCTAGTTCAGGATGAGTATGTTCTTTTGTTGCATAAGCATTGTTAGCTCTTTCTTCTTCTTTTGCTATTGCATCGTCTACATATTCTTTGTCAGCTTTGTTGTCAACATCTGTTTTCAAAAGAAGTTCATTTATAGGTTTCTCGTTTAAAGTTCCTTTTGTTGGATTTATACAGACAGTATTGTTCTTCTTGTCTTGAAACAGAAACTCATCTGTCATTGGGTTTAAGGTCAGTTTTAAGTTTCCTTCTTTCAATGACTCAGATATCTTAGAATAGTTTGAAAAGTTTGTTGTGTTCTTATTTAGAGCTTGCATAATGAGTTGTCGGTTGTGTTGTATTTCTCTTATGGAAGCAATATCTTTCGACATTTTTATTCTAGATAAAATATGCTTTCAATAGAAAAAGAAAATTCAAGAGTTGCTACAACTAAACCATTAGATGAACTTTTTACTAATGTCGGTCAAAAGTTTGAGACAGAGGCCGTAAAGCATGAAGGCTATCGTTTTGACTACCCATTAAGATGGCTAAGAGACCCATCTGTCACAAAAGCTATTGGCTTTCGTAGAATAAAATTTGTGTCTGTAGAAGATAAAAGTTTTCCATTTATTGTAAGGTTTCATATAGATTATATATCTGAAGGGAAACGAAAAATGTGGGAAGAAATTGAGCTAATACAAGTTGACCTTTCATCTTCTCTACAGACTGCGTTAAAAAATATAGAAGATAAAATAAATTCATGTTATGCAAAATATGCTGATGAATATGCAAATACCGAGAGCACACTTTATGTGAGAATTGTATATGACAAACAAAATTCACAAGTGTCATTTCAAATCTACGAAGACAATCCAAAGAAAGACGAACAAATATATACAGAATTCACTGCAATGTCATGGTATTATTTGCAAAGAATGTTAAATCAGAAAGTCGAACTTCCTTTAGCAAATATTTACAGTCGATATGCAAGAGATGAACCATATTTATTTAAAGATGTTTTCGACCAAGATGCTATTATTGTTCATGCTTCATTTTCTGGCGCCCAAAACTCTTTTTTATGCTTGGCAAATGACTTTTACGAAAAACCTACAAAGTTATACGAACCACCAAGTGGAAGTATTTCAGACTTTCAAGTATGGTTTACTACAGATGGAAGAAAAAGAATAATTCCATTATACCATGCGTTTTACTTAGAACTTAGTTTCATATACAACTACTATCGAACGGTAAAAATATAATTTTTTAATACGGTTGAGGTGTTGGATTTGGTTGCCAACTAGACTGTGGTGCAGGTTCAGGCTGTTGTATAACAGGAGCTTGTTCTTCTGGTTCAGGGTCTTTAGGTATAATACCAACGAACTGACCTACTCTTTTACCAATATTTTTGACACCGTTCCAAATTCCTCTTCCTACGGTTTTTATTCCATTCCATATACCTCTTCCAACTCTTCTGAAGAAGTTTCCAATACTACTGAAGAAACCCATTTACTACGTGTAAAAATCTAATGTCCACCTAGTCTCTTACGTTTCCTGTTGAGTTCCATAGCATTCTTTAACTGGAGCTCATACATTCTGTTTCTCCTCTGGTAGAAAACATATTCTGGGTCAACTCCTGTGTTCGCGTCATCTGCATAAAGTTGTTTATATCCCACTTCAGGGTTTGTATAAAACTCTTTCCATCTCATATTTGCATACCATGGTGGCAAACCTAACGCAGCGTCATTTGACATGGCAGTTTGCATTTGTACATCTGTTGGCACTTGACCATAGTTTGCCATTGCAGTTTGTATTCTAACTTCATTTGGAATATTCTCTGGGTTTGGTTGTCCAGGTTGCTGTGCATTCGCTAAGTTCTGTGCGTCCATTTAATATTAGATAAAAATATCTCTTACGAGTACATATACTGAACATTTGCAGGCATTGGTTCATCTTCATATTCTCTATATCTTTCTGCCACGTCAAATAAATAAATGACACAATGGAAAAAACCTAAAACTAACAATCCGATTTCAAACCACATTTACTTACTAATAAAATTTCTTTATTGTGACACTTTCTCCAGTTTATAGGACCTCTCTCATATTCTATCTTGTCATATATAAACTCATAGTCATGTATGTCCTCTAACCATCTCATAACGGTTTCCAAACCACTTTTATCGGATGTAAAGTAAAAGCATGGATGGTTATGTATAACGTCTAAAGTTTCTAAAGAGTCTCTCAAAGTCCAGTCTACTTGGTATTGAAAATCCCATGTGTTATAGAACGGCTGGTCCACTATAAAGAAAACATTTTCCTTGTCTTTATATTTTTCATACAACTCTGTCCAATGACATCTCACAAACTCTATACCCTCAATATATTTTTCTATGTTCTCTTTGAAAACATTTGTATAGTTAAGATATAAAACTTTTGACATAAGTGTTTCAATGTCATGAACTCTTATAGCACCACTATATAATAGTCTAGCAGATATACTATTCCAGTCTATATATTCTGCTTTTTTCAAAACCTCTCTCACAATATTTTTCTTATCTAATGGTATACGTTCCATCTTACCTATAGGTATCTTTTCTTTTAACTCTTTCAATATATTGTTTGTGTCTGGAATATGTTTGAGACGGTCCATATAGTTGTCGAAGTCATTGCATATAATCTTTGAGTCTGGGAATATTATATGACATAAATGGGATATATAGAAACTTCCACCGAACAAATCTACAAATGTTAGACCATTCGGTAGTTTCTTAAGTTCTCTCAATATAATATCTTTACATCTACTCTTATTTCCAAAGAACGGTAACGGTGGTTTTGTAAAATTCATTTATATATAATAATAAAAATGTTTTTACCCGAAAAGTGACAGAAAAGTGACAAAGCATGAAAACATATATAATTTGTGAAAAGTGAAACATTATATAATGTTTTCGACCCAGAAGACTAACAATTTTCCGAATAAAAACTTCATTTATACTAAACATCTTCAGGGCTAGAGGGCGCAACGCGCCTGGAAGCCTTCCCAATAAAAACTTCATTTATACTAATCATCTTCAGGGCTAGAAGGCACGAAGTGCCTGGAAGCCCCACTACCTTTTTTTTTTAAATTAACAGAAATTTCCATTTATTTTAAGAAATTTGAAAACAATTGATTCAATTATACGATAAATGGCAGCAATATTGTATAGAATTTCAAAAAGTTCTCATAATCAATCCATTTAATCATATAATGGATTCTTTATTGATGAAATTTAGAAAATCAATTAATCATTTTCCTCAATTTTTCTGCTGTAAACAAACAATAGCCTATTAAAAAGAACGAAAATTATTTATTTGTAAAAACTGAACCATGTTTCGATCTTTGACTTTAATAAAATAAATTACTATTGGATTATCCAATTTTCATTGATAACATTCCAATATAAACATCGTATAGCATCTAGACTGGATAAGGAATCAAATAAAATATCACACAAACCATAAATGAAAATAGTTTTTTAATGTATTCTAGAATAAAGTCATTTTAATTTGAATTTTGGTGGAAAATCTATGATATTATCTGTTTAAGCATTGAATGTTGAATAGACTGCTTTGCACCTTAACATCAATTCCTTTTCAGATAAATATTATAATCTTAAAAATGATTTATCACAGTCATCATAAATAGAGCCTTTATTTTATGCTAAAGATCCTTATACAAGAAAGACATTTCCGAATAATTATACGATTGCTAAAACTATCTTTGAAAACTTCATTAATAGATCAATTTTAATAAATAATGAAAATATTTCAACTACAACATATATTAAACGTAGTTTTTTCTATAACTGTTCCTCTACTTATAGCGGTGGAGCTATTAAGGTCAATACAAATAAAGGAAGCATGTTTTTTGAGAAGCTTTGTTCAATATCATCTAATTCTCGTGATCATGCTCATTTTTGCTACATGGTTAGTTACCTCGATAATATCAATTCATTTATTGAGTCGTCATTGACATTATCCGGGCATCTATTTGTTGGAGCCAGTCCGCTATTTTTGCGAGGAGGAATTCAAACGCTGAATTATGTGAATAATTCTGATTCTATATGTAGTTATTATAGTGGACCATTGATGGGTTATGGAATGGGAAATTCCAAATTCTGTATTAACTATCGTATTAATTCTACTGTAACTTCAGGTGTTGAATTTAGAAAAGAAGAATATAATTATTCTTTTTCTGAGATAATAAACTCGACTTCTAAATTTTACACAATTGCCGTATCATTCGAGTATTCGGTGTTAAGAGTTAGAAATGTAATAATTTGTGATGCAAATTGCATTTTTTGGATTTTATCAAAATGGTACCGGTTATGCTTTATTTGAGGACTGTTACTTTGACAGTGATAAGATTGACGAAAAATACGTGAAAAATCCAAGAAATGAAAAATTTGATGTCGATTATAGTATTAAGGATCCGGTTGAATGTATAAGCATTCCAAAGTATTATATTGAAGTTTATAAAGTCACAAACTGTCAAATTTATTGCTACAACCATATTTGTTTATATTTTTTATTATTCTCTTTAAACCGTGTTATTTCGATTTAATAATATTCAAAATAATATCACTTTTTCCGAAACCAAAACTGTAGGAAAAAGTGAGTAATTTATTAAAATATTTGAGGCAGTTGTATTGAAAGATATTAAATTACCATTCATAAAATGATGACTTTCACTTAGAAACATAATATTAAGAGGTTTTAAGCTGTTGCTATACTTAAGGTTAATCCAATGAAAACAATGTTTTCATATACTCAATTATTGAATAAGACAATATTTTATGAGTTCTCAAATTTTAAAGTTTATATATGAAATAGTAAATACTTATGATATTTAGTTCATGATATCATATGAACTCGTAAACAAATCAGGTATTAGTGCGAATGTGAAAGTATTTCAATCCGGAAACCAATACCTTTTTGATTATCCTTGTGATTCAACATCTGACTGCACAGACTATGCTGTTAATCTTACAAAAGGAACATACAAATTTGAGTTATTTGGTGCCAGTGGTGGTAGCTCCAAAGATAAAGTCTCTTCGTTCAGATTTTCGAATACCTCTTGCATTTCACCTCTTTTAGTTCGGATGTATGGCGGCAATGTTGATTGTTATCCAGGTAATAGTATTGGCGGTGCAGGCGGCTATCTTTCTGCACAAATCTCTCTTCGATCTCCAGTCAAAGCTTACTTCACTCTTGGTGGTCGTGGCATTTTCGGGCATAAATTAGAATCTGAACTAAATACAGCTTGTTTTGAAAAGATTAATATGCAACCAGGTGGATACGGAGGTGGAGGTAGCTCTTCTAATTATCCAAGAGGAACAGGGAGCGGAGGCGGCCAAACCGCTGTCAAATTTATTGAAAATGATCTTTGGCATCGCGTCCTAGTTAGCGGCGCTGGGGGTGGTTGTGATGATAATACAGATGATGACAGCAGTGGTGGTTCTGGTGGAAATCTTACAGCACAAAGTTGGTTCCTTTTTGGTAAATTAACTAAATCATATTTTGCTAATTCTACATTCGGTTTTTCATTTGGCCAAGGTGAAGCAGCTCGATATGATGATGCTAACAACTCAATATCTGTAAAAACAAGTAGCCACAGCGATATAGCTGGTGCTGGAGGTGGGTGGTTTGGAGGTTTTTCTGGCCAATTTGGAGGAGGAGGTGCAGGAGGAGGGTCATCTTGGGCATTAACAAAAAATGCAGTTATTCCAAAAGGAAATATTGATTCATTTAATGAATTTTATGACAAGTTAGATTCTAAACCATATGCGTTTGATCTTAATTCAGAATACATTTTTGATCATGTTATTCATGTTCCCGGCATCTGGGAAGGAAACGGCAAAATCATCCTCACAATCTTTTCTAATAACATCATTCAATCTTGTTTGTGCAAATTTAACATTATCAACGCATTAACACTTTATTTCCAAATATTTGTCAATTAGAAATAAAAATAATATGATTATCTTGATTGTTGATATAATTGTTTTCCTAGCTATGATTTTTTGATTAACTGAGTGAACTTATGCTTATCTGATATTAATTATAATTTTGACAACTAATGTGAATCATAATTGAAAATTAACCGTTAAATCACAAAATTGAAGGTCATGTCATACTGGCATACGTGCACCATTGATACATGAAAATTTTACTAACAAATTATTATTATAAATAGTAGCGAAGAAAAATTCATGAAATAATATTTTAAGCACGACACATTATATTTAAGTTCTATAACGGTAATAATTAACCGTCCATTCCCTTCCCAGATACCTGGCATATGAACTATATCGGTGAAGAGATATTCGGAATCTAATGCGAAAGCGTAAGGCTTAGAGTCAATTAAATTATAAAATTCATTATAGGCAGATATATTTCCAGGAGGAATCATAGCATCTTTAGTGAGAGCAAATGAAGATCCTCCACCAGCACCATAATTTTTATGAAATTATATTTTTTTAGAAATTGAAAGCATTTCAAATCATTAAATCCATGCGTCTTGTGATTTCAAAGCGTGTTGTGTCTCTGTGCCGCTCACTAAAATGTAATAAAAAAATTGACTATTATCCACCTTAGGGCAAGCAGTTTAATTTACTCGGGATCGCTATTACCACTGCAAAATTGATGTCCAAACGTATTCATTTCATTTGAACGGCTATTATATATACAAAAAATCTTAAATTTAATAAAAAATCTTGATTACTCTGGCAATATTGAAGAATTTGAACTATCAACTGGAACATACTTGTTACAGTTATGGGGTGCACAAGGCGGTTTCAGATCCAAACCTGAATCTGGTCTTGGAGCATATTCAGAAGCTATTATTAATGTTACTTCGTTAACCAGATTTTATGCATATGTTGGCAAACAAGGTATATGCAGTGAATCCATAATTTACGGCCACAAAAAATTTGGCAGTGGCTCAAATTGCATTGGATCTAGGCGTCAATACTCATGTATCGGCGGTGAAGCAACATTGATTGCATATGATATTAACTTTGATAATATAATCATTGCAGCAGGTGCAGGTGGCGGCGCTGGATACTATGATGATTCAGGTGGTGAGTGTCCGAGCGGTTTTGGTGGTCCATTCGCAGAGGATGGCTATGCATACGGCAGTTGGTACACTAGTGAACTAATAAAGAGAGCTCGTGGAAAAGGAGCTACTTCAGAAGCCCCAGGATATGGAGGAGAATATTTCATACCCAATAACCCTGATAATTGTCTCGCAAATAGTGGACAAATAATAAGAGGGGGTGACGCATGTTGTACACAATCGGGCTCGCCTGGGGGCGGAGGTGCTGGATATTTCGGCGGCGGTGGTGGTGCTGACATTTCTGGCGGCGGTGGGGGAAGTAGCTATGCTCATCCAAGTTTGATGAATGTTAATTTACTTGGCGGCAATAAATTTTTTCCTGACCCTTTAAATGAACAAATCGCAATCAAAGGTAAAAAAGGAAATGGATTTATAAAAATTTCTGAATCAAATCCATACACATTTGTAAAGTTTTCTCAAAGTTGTAATCCAGCTCTGATCAAATACTCATGTATCATCTTCAAACAAATGAGATACCTTATCGGACTTGGATTTTATATCTTGTTAGATTAAACTTTTTTTATATATTTAATGGAATAAAGGACATATGATGACATACGCAAATTGATGAAAATGGTTCAAAGAGTAGTGACACAAAATAATTATCAAAAAAAAATCTCCAAGCAAATCACCAATGATGATTTGTAATTTCCTAAAACCAACTGCTTCCAGAACCTGATACATCTCTAGCTTGTAATATTTGTTTACATCATTTGGATTACAAGCTTTGAAATAATAACAATAATAAAATTCATTTTTATTTTAATGATATTACTTCTATTTTATATTACTAACAAATTATTATTATAAATGGGGTTTTCCTACAAGTGCAAAAAATGCGCAAAAACGATTATTTTACATTCAATTTGCGCATTATTTGTGCGTTTAAAAATCTATCCGCGTAAAGTAGTCAAAAGATGTAAGCATTTTTTCTTTAATATATTTTGCATATGCAATTGTGGCTATACTTTATAAATGATTTTGATTATTTATAATAGTCAACTCCAAACTTTTTCAAATGCGCAAAATATGCACCCCATGTAAAACCCATTTTTAACAAAAACAAATGAACAATGTAGTCTGTACATACAGATGTTGATTTACATGGATACTCAAAAAAAAACATTTTTGACCAATACACTTAACATTTTATTTTGATTCTGGTACAGATTCATTTAATAGTTCATATGAAATCATATATAATTCATGATGGATTTATATTCCGTTAGATTCTTTTTAGAATATGACTTTTAATCTTTTGGATATTGTTGATTTGAACTTTGCAAACTCATAGTTATAATTAATTAGTAAAAACTATCAAAATTAAATTTTTTAAACTGCAGAAAATATTACAAGGAATAAATAAAGATTCAAATTAAATGATTGCCGACAAATGCATGATAATAAAATACCGTTATTAATAATTGTTATTATTAATCTGCCGTTTCCTTCCCAAATACCTGACATATGAATAACTTCGTCAAATAAATATTCAGAGTTGAGGTCAAATGCATATGGTTTAGAATCAATAAAATTATAAAATTCATTATATGCAGATATATTTCCTTTAGGTATTATAGCGCCTTTGGTCAGTGCGAATGAAGAACCTCCACCTGCACCTGCGGTGCCATACTGCCCAGAGAATCCTCCAAACCATCCACCACCAGCACCGCCAATATCTGCATTATTACTCATACGAATAGCATCAGAATTATTGGCTTGGCCAAATCTAGCAGCTTCTCCTTGTCCAAAAGAAAATCCAAATGTGGAATTTGCCAAAAGTGTGGATATTAATACACCATCATTGAACCATCCTTGTGCAATCAAGTCTCCTCCTGCACCACCACTTCCATCATCTGAGTTACTGTCATCACAGCCACCTCCAGCACCGCTCACGAGAACACGATGCCAGAGATCGTTTTCAAGAAATTTGACAGCGGTTTGGCCGCCTCCGCTCCCTGTTCCTAAATAATGGTTAGAAGAGCTTCCTCCGCCACCGTATCCACCTGGTTGCATGTTTTCTTTCTTAAAACACCATTCAGTTGCTGAAGCATCAGATTTTTTGCCAAAAATTCCCCTGCCACCGATTGTCGCGTATGCAGTGAGGTGTTGTTTTAATGTAATTTTAGCAGATAGGTATCCGCCTGCACCACCAAGACTATTGCTGTTGAAACAATCAGTGTTACCACCTAGAAGAGAAACAATCTTTGATGGAATGCAATTTTTATTTCCATCTCTATAGGAAGAGACTTTGTTTCGTGCAGAACCTCCACTTGCTCCATATAAATCAAATTTGTATGTTCCTGGAGATAAACGAATGATGTAATCAGTACAAACATAACTTGAATTACAAGGATAATCAAAGATATATTTCTTTCCTTGATTTGTAACATTTGGGGCTGCTCCATCTATTGATTTATTCTCAAGTTCTGGTGGATTCATTCATTTTTCTTAAGTTAAGAAGTAATCTGTTGTAATTAAAATAAGGTTAATATTTACCATAATGACGATATATCATAAACAAAAAGCACTTTTAAGATTAATTCCTTGAAGTAAGCTTGTCCAGAATCTCCAAAATGCCTGGAACATGGGTAACTTTTTCAATAAGAAATTTTGAACTCCTCCAGCACCATTATTATATAATAGTTCATATGAAATCACACTTTATTCTGAATGATATTTTTTATATCGGAAAGACTCAATTGAAAGATTGAAATAATTTAAGGGTCCACGGTACATTTTCAATACTATTCAAAAATTGAATGCTAAAATGAGAATTATCGGTATCGTCTTCAACTTGAATCGATTTTTTGGAGATTCCTGGTTAATGAAATCCAAAAAATATTTTAAAAAATAGTATATAAATATGATATCAAATCAGAGTATATAAATAGATATGGGCCTTGCCATATAAATTTTGAACATTAACAATATCTTTCGCTTGGCCGGACCGTGGACCCTTAACAGTTTTAATCAGAATTTATAACAATGATTAACAGATGTTTTACTTCATGTTAAACCAATTGGTATGATAAGCAGAATATTTTATATTATTGAATGAGACAATAATATTTTGAATTTTCAATTTTTAAGGTTAATTTTTTTATTAATGTGAAATGATATCATTGTTCAGTAATAATTCATGATTTCATATGAACTCGTAAATAAAACGGGTGTTAGTGCTAATGTGAATGTATTGCAATCTGGAAATCAATATATTTTCGATTATCCCTGTAAATCCACATCTGAATGTACAGACTATTTTGTTCATCTTCCACGTGGTACATACAAATTTGAATTATTTGGCTCCAGTGGTGGTAGTTCTAAAGGTCATGTCTCATCATATAGATATTCACAAACAAATTGCATTTCACCATTATTAGTTAAATTGTATGGTGGCAATGTTGATTGTTATCTAAATAACAGTATTGGTGGTGCAGGCGGCTATCTTTCTGCACAAATTTCTCTTCAATCTCCTGTTCAAGCTTTCTTCACTCTTGTAGGTCGAGGTATCTTTGGTCATAAAACAGATAATCCTTGTAGCCCATCTAGTTTTGAAAAGGGCAATATGCAACCAGGTGGCTATGGTGGTGGTGGAAGTTCATCAGACCATCCATATGGGACAGGGTGTGGAGGTGGCCAAACCGCCGTCAAATTTCAATATAATGATCTTTGGCATCGTGTTCTCGTTAGTGGTGCAGGAGGTGGCTGTGATGACAATACAGATGATGACGGCAGCGGTGGTTCAGGCGGAAATCTTACGGCACAAAGTTGGTTTTACAACGGAGAACTCACCAATTCATATTATGCAAATTCCACATTCGGTTTTTCATTTGGTCAAGGTGAAGCCGCTCGCTATGATGATGCTAACAATTCAATATCTGTAAAAGTTAGTCAACGTGTAGATATTGGAGGTGCTGGTGGTGGATGGTTTGGAGTATTTTCTTCTCAATCAGGTCAAGGAGGTGCAGGAGGAGGATCATCATGGGCATTAACAAAAGATGCAGTTATTCCAAAAGGAAACATTGATTCATATAATGAATTTTATTACAAATTAGATTCTAAACCATATGCATTTGATCTTAATTCAGAATATCTCTTTGATCATGTTATTCACGTTCCTGGCATCTGGGAAGGCAACGGCAAAATCATACTCACAATCATATCTAATAACTTAATTCAATCCTGCATATGTAAAATTAACATTATCAACTCATTAACACTTTATTTCCAAATATTTATCCTTTAAAAAAGTAATTATAATTTATTCTGACAACATAGAGTTTCCAGATTTTTTATTGAAATTTATGAAGAAATTAAAATTACAATAAAAATTGAAGAATAATAAAAATGATATTGGTTTATACATGATTAAATATAACACATGTCAAGTATTGAAATGATAATGCGGCCATTTCCTTCCCAAATACCCGGTACATGTATTACATCTTGAAAAAGATATTCTGAGTTATGATCAAATGCATAAGGTTTAGAGTCGATAAATTTGTAGAATTCATCATAAGATTCGATATTTCCGATAGGAATGAAGGCATCTTTTGTCAATGCCCATGATGATCCTCCTCCTGATCCAGAAGACCCATCTTGGGAAGAGAAACCACCAAACCAACCTCCTCCAGCACCTGCAATATCAAATTTTCCTGCATTCTGGACAGATCTATTGTTTAGGGCTGTAGTGTATCGAGCAGCTTCTCCTTGACCGAATGCAAATCCGAAAGAAGAATTTGCTAAATGAGAACTCTTAAGTTCACTGAAGCGAAACCAACCTTGAGCAGTTAAATTTCCTCCAGAACCACCACTACCGTCATCTGTTGCATTGTCATCACTTCCACCTCCACCACCGCTCACCAAAACTCGGTGCCAAAGGTCATTTTCAAGAAATTTGACGGCGGTTTGACCACCTCCACTACCTGAACCATAGATCAATGTAGATGATTCATCAATACCAAAATAATTAGAAGAACTTCCACCACCACCATATCCACCAGGTTGCATATTGTCTTTCTCAAAATTTTGTTCTTCAGTCATTGTACCTGGTTTGTAGCCAAAAACACCTTTTCCTCCAAGGGTAAAATAAGTTGGAATAGGATGGTTTAGGCGAATAACGGCTGATAGATAACCTCCTGCTCCACCAATACTATTCTCTTGGAAACATTCCGTATTACCATGAAAAAGCTTGACAATGTCATCCGGAATACAAATTTTATTTTTATCTCTGTAAGAAGAGACATTCCCACGAGAACTGCCTCCACTAGCACCATATAGTTCAAATTTATATGTTCCACGAGGCATATGAACAATGTAGTCAGTACAATGTGATGAATTTTCACAAGGATAATCAAAAATTAATTGATTATCCTTTACAAATACTTTCTCTTTTGCATTTACATCCTGCTTGGATATTAGTTCATATGAAATCATAACAACTTTCGAATATTTCCATTAATCCGAAAATTTTAGAATATTTACATCGCTATTGTCTTTCACAAATTTTAAGGTTAAAATCGCATTGAATCTTGACATAATTTTAGAGTGATTTAGATATGCAAAGACTAGAGTTAGATATGCAAACATAATAATGCAAGACTAGAAACAAATCTAATGAAAATATTAACGAGCTTTCTCTTACATTTTTTCCCTACTTGAAGGATTTGTTATGCATACATTAGATATGAATGAAATGTCAAATTATTAAATTTCTAGATTTATTTATTTTATATTAAATTAAAAATTAAAATTTCTATATAATTAATATTGTAATATCGAAAACAAGACTGGATTACACAGGACTGAAGTATTGTAATCACAGCTCTTCCATTTCCTTCCCATATTCCAGGCATATGTATTATTTTCTCAAACAAATACTCAGAGTTGATATTAAAAGCGTAAGGTTTCGAATCAATCTTAGTGTAAAACTCATCGTAAGCGGAGATGTTGCCAGGAGGAATGACTGTATCTTTAGTGAGAGCAAAAGAAGATCCTCCACCAGCTCCTGCGTAACCAGATTGACTTGCAAATCCTCCAAACCAATCTCCACCAGCGCCGGCATTATCTTCATTACGACTACTTAGAACAGCATAAGGATTGATTCTATTTCCATAACGAGCAGCTTCTCCTTGGCCAAAAGAAAATCCAAATGTAGAATTGGCCAGTAGTGTACCTACATAATTACCATTGTCGAACCAGCCTTGTGCAGTAATATTTCCTCCTGCACCGCCACTGCCATCATCTGTTTCACTGTCGTCACAACCTCCCCCAGCACCACTCACAAGAACTCGATGCCATAGATCATTTTCATGAAATTTGACAGCCGTTTGGCCACCTCCGCTCCCTGTCCCTCTCACATAGTTTGCGGAGCTTCCTCCTCCACCATACCCTCCAGGTTGCATGTTTTCTTTCTTAAAACAATTTTTGGTGGCCGATTCATCACTTTTCTTCCCATAAACACCTCTACCTCCGATGGTCAGAAAAGTTGTTATTGGAGATTGTAGTTTGAGGGTGGCAGATAAATAACCTCCTGCGCCACCAATACTATCCTTTTGAAAGCACTCAGCGTTGCCATGGAATATTTCAACAATGTTGCTTAATATACAATTTTTATTTTTATCTCTGTAAGATGAGACCCTACCTCGAACACTTCCCCCACTGGCACCATATAATTCGAATTGGTATGTACCTCGTGGTAATTTAACAACATACTTCGTGCAAAATGATGTATTCTCACAAGGATAATCAAAAATGTATTGATTCCCATTTACAGATACATTTTCATTTGCAACCACACCATCTTTTTGTAATAACTCATATGAAATCATGCTTTAATTTGCATGACATCAGAGTTTTCAAATTTTTTATAAAAAGAAATTTGGAACCTTAATCTGAAAAAGCAGTTAAATTCGATAGGATAAAGAAACACATTATTTTAATAAATTCATTTAAGTTTAAATTATTAAAATGTAGCAATAATCTAGGAAGTAATCACGATATCATGATCCATAATAAAAATATACTACAAATTTTTTCTGAGCTTTTCTCAGAAAAATTGTTTGGAGTATATTTGAATACAAATCACTTCAAATTGTTTTGGGCACTATGATTTCACTGAAAAACGGACCCAAAAAATTTGAATTGATGTGTATTTATATTTAAAGCTACTATTCAATAAGACTCATTTTGTAGCATGAAAAAAAGTTATTTAATATCAATTAGAAATAAAACATTAAATAGCTTGGATCATGTCATTAAATAAATCAAATTAAATAAATCATTTGGATATGAATAACATCTTTGAAGAGGAATTCTGAGTTTAAATTAAATGAATACGGTTTAGAATCAATTAAATTATAAAACTCATCATAAGCAGAAATATTTCCTTGAGGAATAATAGCATCTTTTGTCAATGCAAATGAAGAACCACCGCCTGCACCTCCCGATCCAGACTGAGAAGAAAATCCTCCAAACCATCCTCCACCTGCACCTCCAATATCTGTATTAGTGCTTGTAGGTACAGCATGAGGATGTTTAGTACTTCCATAACGAGCAGCTTCTCCTTGACCAAATGAAAACCCGAATGTGGAATTTGCCAAATAATTTTCGACATAATTTCCGTTAAAGAACCAACCTTGTGCAACAAGATTTCCACCTGCGCCACCACTTCCATCATCTGCATTGTAGTCATCACATCCACCACCAGCACCACTCACTAAAACGCGATGCCAAAGATCATTCTCAATAAATTTGACAGTGGTTTGGCCGCCTCCACTCCCTGTTCCTCTAAAATAATTGGAAGAACTTCCTCCACCACCATACCCACCTGGTTGCATATTTTCTTTCTGGAAATTTTCTTCTTCAGTCATATAACCTGGTTTGTAGCCGAAGACACCTTTACCACCGATGGTAAAATATGACAGGGTAGGATGCTTAAGAGTGATAGTACCTGATAAATATCCACCAGCACCGCCGATACTATCTTGCTGAATGCATTCAGTGTTACCATGCATGAGTCTTACAGTTTCTTCTGAAATACAACTTTTGTTTTCATATCTATATGATGAAACTTTCCCTCTTGCACTACCGCCACTTGCACCATACAATTCAAATTTGTATGTGCCTCGTGGTAATCTAACAACATAGTCTGTGCAAATTGATGTATCATCACAAGGAAAATCAAAAATATATTGACGTCCATTGATACTTACATTCTTACTTGCATTTACATCAGATTTTTGCTGTAATTCATACGAAATCATGCTTTATTTTGCATGATTTTTTTTTTTGAAAATTTCCATCATCTATATTTTTAAATGATTGGTGTAGGTATCGATCTTGGTACTACATTTTCAAGCATTGCATTCCTCGAAAATGAGACGCAACCAAATGTTGTTGTGATAGATGAAACGTTAGGGTTGTTAGATTCCCGACGATAGGTGTCTTGGAAGATTTGCCTGGTGTCATCATAGTGTCTTTATATCAAAAATTTTATTTTGGAGTTAGTTTTATTGATTTTTCAATAAAAAACATTTCTAAAACAAGAAAATAAAACGATAAAATATTTATATTTTATATAAGGATCTTATATATTTAAAATAAATATCATTTTATTTTTTTCATTGGTGTCTGTCAAACCATAATACACTATTCAAAAATTCAATGTGTCTTGCGGTTTCAAAAGACACCTTCAAATTGAACGATAGCACAGACACTATTGAATTTTACACATTTTATTTAGTTTTTACCCTTTTTATTTTTAAGAATTAATGACTGAAACAGCCGTTTTGCTATGACCTCAATCACTTTTATTTATTATTTTAAATATTATTTAATTTTATTATTTGAATAGGCCAACTTATATTTGAGAAGCTCAATTTGAGACCACTTAATACATTGAAATATCATAAATATTGAAATATTAAAAAGTGTATTTCAAAATATTGAAATTATAAAAATTTATAATACTGAAATTGAGACAAATTAATAAATTCAATGTGTTTTTTGAAATAACTCTCAAATATTATTTTTTTGTTTATTTAATGATGAATAAATATGATTGCTTTAGTCAATCATAAAAACTAATTTAAGTTTAAAATAATGAAAGGATAATTTGATCGTTTTTTAAAATACAATTATTTTTGATGATTTGCAAGAATCTTTGAAAAGAATATAATATAGGTTCTATTTTTGTAAAATTTATCCAAATCATGTATTACATAAATTACGATTAAAACGATGAAAGAACCAAAAAGTGTGTTTTGTGTTTTGTTGTTGCGTGTTGGATGCGGGATCCTGTTATTTCCGAAATCGACAAAAAATTTGGAAATTTAATTTCCGAAATCGAAATTATATTAATGTTTTTAATATTCTTATATCAAAAGGATTAAAGTTCATTAAGAGAAAAACAATTCTTCTTCTTCAATCTATTGGCGCATTTATTTCTACACGCCAATAAGGAAGGGAAAATTATAAGACACCATGGTGTCTTCAAAACGCTAATTTTTGATATTTTTAACAACCCTACTGAGGATTTTGGGAAAAAGTTTTTACATGAACATGTGTATATTATATGAAGTATATTGATAAGGTAAAAATCAAATTTTATTGCATATTCATCGAGAAAATAAACTAACGAATCCCTCAAAATTGAGAGGGTAATCCTCCTCCTCTCAAATAAACGTACATACGGGTGCACCCTTAAATCATTGTTAAAATGCTAAAATATTAATTTAGATATAATTATGTTATTATATATTCTAAAATTACAGCAAAATTGAAATGTATTTGAGACATGATTTTACATGACACAAAGAATTTTGTATCAAGAATTGTAATAATAAGTCGTCCGTTCCCTGTCCAGATTCCAGGCATATGTTCAACTTCTGTGAAAAGATATTCACTATGCAAATCAAATGCATATGGTTTGGAATCAATTAAATTATAAAATTCATCTGATGCAGTAATATTTCCTTGAGGGATAATTGCATCTTTCGTCAATGCAAATGAAGATCCTCCTGAAGCACCTGAATAACCGTTTTGAGCAGAAAAACCGCCAAACCACCCACCACCAGCACCAGCTATATCAGTATTTGAGCTACTCTTAACGGATAGAGAGTTATTTGGTGGTGGTTGTCCAAATCTGGCAGCTTCTCCTTGGCCAAAAGAAAATCCAAATGTTGAATTTGCAAGATACGAGTTACTCATGACAGAATTTGCAAACCAACCTTGTGCAGTTAAATTTCCTCCTGCACCACCACTGCCATCATCTGATTGACTATCATCACAACCACCACCAGCACCGCTCACAAGAACACGATGCCATAGATCGTTTTCATGAAATTTGACAGCGGTTTGACCACCTCCACTCCCCGATCCAGATGGAAAGTTAGCAGAGCTTCCTCCTCCACCATATCCACCTGGTTGCATATTTGCTTTCTCAAAGCAATCTTTTGTTTCGCGGTTATTTGTTTTATGTCCAAATGAACCTTTGCCTCCGATTGTTGCAAATGATGTCAAAGAGTGCTGAATGAATATTTTTCCTGAAAGGTAGCCGCCAGCGCCACCAAGACTATAACTTTGGAAGCACTCTGCATTGCCCCCAAGAAGGGAAACAATTTGCGATGGAATGCAATTTCGGTTTTCATCTCGATAGGATGAGACTTTGCCTCTGGATGACCCACCACTTGCACCATATAATTCAAATTTGTATGTCCCTGGAGACAAGTGTATAATATAGTCTGTACAAACAGACGTTGAATTGCAAGGATAATCAAAAATATACTTTCGATCATTATGTGTAACATTAATAGCTGCTCCAGATAAAGATTTATCTTCTAATTCATAAGAAATCAATCATTCGAAATCGAATTTTTCGAAAATATATAATTATGGCAAAATTAAACAAGCATAAATACAACTATCTAGCAAACCATTTATAAAATAAAACTTTTATTTATTTGATGTTAATGTAACCTAGTTTAGATAAGCATCTATCAAGAATCAGAGACACCCATCACCTTCGTATTATATGGATCAGATAATATCCAAATTGGTGATGGGATCAATCCATGTATCTCTAAAAGTTACAGAGGAGAATTAACAATTCCTTCATCAATTGACTCTAAACCGGTTACTATCCTTGGAAATAATTCATTCAATGGATGTACTCTTTCTATGTTAATACTACCAAAAAGTCTTACAACAATTGGAAAGTATTGTTTCAATAGTTTTACAATCAACGAATTATACATTCCTGAAGCAGTAACAACAATAAAAGGTCAAGCATTTACATACTCAAACATACAATTTGTTAATTTTTCATCTTGTAAATTTCAATATTTCACCGATAGCTATCATTTTTTCTTTTCAACGGCGGAACATGTTATATTACCTGAAACACTGATAAGAATTCCAACCCACATGTTTTATTATACGAGATTGAAAAATATCACGTTACCTCAGGCATTGGAAACCATAGATAGTGGTGCTTTTGTCTTCTGTCTTTACCTTGAAGAATTCTTTTCTAATAGTCCTAACTTTGTAGTAAAAAATAAAGTTTTATATAATAGCGATTTTACTGTATTAGTTGGATATCCATCAAATTGTTATGAAGACATTCTTGATACTGTAACAGAAATATCATCTGCACGAGGATTTAGTTCATCATCATTTACTCGTTTTACAATGAGGCAAACAATATCAAAAATTGGTCCATATATATTTAGAGGATGCCAAAACCTTGAGTATGCTGATATAAGTGCATTTCAAGTTAATAGATTATATGATGCAACTTTTTATTCATGTAATAAACTTAAAATATTAATATTACCATCAACAATTCAAACAATAGAACAGTATGCATTTTCAGGTATCGCAGCAAAATTTATTGTTTTGCCATTTAGTTTAAAATCTGTTAGTTATTATTTCCTTGATGGAAGTTATTTCGATGATATCTATTACTGTGGTCCAACTGCAATAAATGCACAAGTTGGTTCATCAAAATCTGTTCGAATACATGTTTCTTCAAATTATCCACCTGATTCAACTCAGTTTTTAAAAAAGGTCATTACGGATCGAAACTTTTCTTGTATAACTGATTTATATGATCCTCCTAAATGTTCCTGCAACCATAACTTTTTAGGAAATCTAATGACTTCTTTTTTATATGTTATCATATTAATATGACTAAAAAATATCTAAATATTGTGTATTATATAAATTTTATGATTCAATCAATCCAAATATTAATGTTGGATTGAAGTAGATTGGAGAAATGATATTACAAGATATAAATAATTTTGAGTCAAGAATTGTAATAATAAGTCGTCCGTTGCCTTCCCAAATACCAGGGATATGAATAACATCTTTGAAGAGGAATTCTGAGTTTAAATTAAATGAATACGGTTTAGAATCAATTAAATTATAAAACTCATCATAAGCAGAAATATTTCCTTGAGGAATAATAGCATCTTTTGTCAATGCAAATGAAGAACCACCGCCTGCACCTCCCGATCCAGACTGAGAAGAAAATCCTCCAAACCATCCTCCACCTGCACCTCCAATATCTGTATTAGTGCTTGTAGGTACAGCATGAGGATGTTTAGTACTTCCATAACGAGCAGCTTCTCCTTGACCAAATGAAAACCCGAATGTGGAATTTGCCAAATAATTTTCGACATAATTTCCGTTAAAGAACCAACCTTGTGCAACAAGATTTCCACCTGCGCCACCACTTCCATCATCTGGATAGTTATCATCACATCCACCACCAGCACCGCTCACAAGAACGCGATGCCAAAGATCATTCTCAATAAATTTGACAGTGGTTTGGCCGCCTCCACTCCCTGTTCCTCTAAAATAATTGGAAGAACTTCCTCCACCACCATACCCACCTGGTTGCATATTTTCTTTCTGGAAATTTTCTTCTTCAGTCATATAACCTGGTTTGTAGCCGAAGACACCTTTACCACCGATGGTAAAATACGACAGGGTAGGATGCTTAAGAGTGATAGTACCTGATAAATATCCACCAGCACCGCCGATACTATCTTGCTGAATGCATTCAGTGTTACCATGCATGAGTCTTACAGTTTCTTCTGAAATACAACTTTTGTTTTCATATCTATATGATGAAACTTTCCCTCTTGCACTACCGCCACTTGCACCATACAATTCAAATTTGTATGTGCCTCGTGGTAATCTAACAACATAGTCTGTGCAAATTGATGTATCATCACAAGGAAAATCAAAAATATATTGACGTCCATTGATACTTACATTCTTACTTGCATTTACATCAGATTTTTGCTGTAATTCATACGAAATCATGCTTTATTTTGCATGATTTTTTTTTTGAAAATTTCCATCATCTATATTTTTAAATGATTGGTGTAGGTATCGATCTTGGTACTACATTTTCAAGCATTGCATTCCTCGAAAATGAGACGCAACCAAATGTTGTTGTGATAGATGAAACGTTAGGGTTGTTAGATTCCCGACGATAGGTGTCTTGGAAGATTTGCCTGGTGTCATCATAGTGTCTTTATATCAAAAATTTTATTTTGGAGTTAGTTTTATTGATTTTTCAATAAAAAACATTTCTAAAACAAGAAAATAAAACGATAAAATATTTATATTTTATATAAGGATCTTATATATTTAAAATAAATATCATTTTATTTTTTTCATTGGTGTCTGTCAAACCATAATACACTATTCAAAAATTCAATGTGTCTTGCGGTTTCAAAAGACACCTTCAAATTGAACGATAGCACAGACACTATTGAATTTTACACATTTTATTTAGTTTTTACCCTTTTTATTTTTAAGAATTAATGACTGAAACAGCCGTTTTGCTATGACCTCAATCACTTTTATTTATTATTTTAAATATTATTTAATTTTATTATTTGAATAGGCCAACTTATATTTGAGAAGCTCAATTTGAGACCACTTAATACATTGAAATATCATAAATATTGAAATATTAAAAAGTGTATTTCAAAATATTGAAATTATAAAAATTTATAATACTGAAATTGAGACAAATTAATAAATTCAATGTGTTTTTTGAAATAACTCTCAAATATTATTTTTTTGTTTATTTAATGATGAATAAATATGATTGCTTTAGTCAATCATAAAAACTAATTTAAGTTTAAAATAATGAAAGGATAATTTGATCGTTTTTTAAAATACAATTATTTTTGATGATTTGCAAGAATCTTTGAAAAGAATATAATATAGGTTCTATTTTTGTAAAATTTATCCAAATCATGTATTACATAAATTACGATTAAAACGATGAAAGAACCAAAAAGTGTGTTTTATGTTTTGTTGTTGCGTGTAAAAAAAAAAAAAAAAGGTAGTGGGGCTTCCAGGGGCTGCGCCCCTTCTAGCCCTAAGAATTTTGCCCAAGACCCAAGAGGAGGACCGAACCCCAGCCGACCAGCCGGTGACAAAACCAAAACCGTTGTTATTTACATCATATTAATAGTGTCACTTTTTAAATGTCACTTTTTGTGTCACTTTTCACAAATTATATATGTTTTCATGTTTTGTCACTTTTCTGTCACTTTTCGGGTAAAAACATTTTTATTATTATATATAAATGAATTTTACAAAACCGCCGTTACCGTTCTTTGGAAATAAGAGTAGATGTAAAGATATTATATTGAGAGAACTTAAGAAACTACCGAATGGTCTAACATTTGTAGATTTGTTCGGTGGAAGTTTCTATATATCCCATTTATGTCATACCGTATTTCCTGACTCAAAGATTATATGCAATGACTTCGACAACTATATGAACCGTCTCAAACATATACCAGATACAAACAATATATTGAAAGAGTTAAAAGAAAAGATACCTATAGGTAAGATGGAACGTATACCATTAGATAAGAAAAATATTGTGAGAGAGGTTTTGAAAAAAGCAGAATATATAGACTGGAATAGTATATCTGCTAGACTATTATATAGTGGTGCTATAAGAGTTCATGACATTGAAACACTTATGTCAAAAGTTTTATATCTTAACTATACAAATGTTTTCAAAGAGGACATAGAAAAATATATTGAGGGTATAGAGTTTGTGAGATGTCATTGGACAGAGTTGTATGAAAAATATAAAGACAAGGAAAATGTTTTCTTTATAGTGGACCAGCCGTTCTATAACACATGGGATTTTCAATACCAAGTAGACTGGACTTTGAGAGACTCTTTAGAAACTTTAGACGTTTTACATAACCATCCATGCTTTTACTTTACATCCGATAAAAGTGGTTTGGAAACCGTTATGAGATGGTTAGAGGACATACATGACTATGAGTTTAGATATGACAAGATAGAATATGAGAGAGGTCCTATAAACCGGAGAAAGTGTCACAATAACGAAATTTTATTAGTAAGTAAATGTGGTTTGAAATAGGACTACTTGTTTTAGGTTTTTTCCATTGTGTCATTTATTTCTTTGACGTGGCAGAAAGATATAGAGAATATGAAGATGAACCAATGCCTGCAAATGTTCAGTATATGTACTCGTAAGAGATATTTTTATCTAATATTAAATGGACGCACAGAACTTAGCGAATGCACAGCAACCTGGACAACCAAACCCAGAGAATATTCCAAATGAAGTTAGAATACAAACTGCAATGGCAAACTATGGTCAAGTGCCAACAGATGTACAAATGCAAACTGCCATGTCAAATGACGCTGCGTTAGGTTTGCCACCATGGTATGCAAATATGAGATGGAAAGAGTTTTATACAAACCCTGAAGTGGGATATAAACAACTTTATGCAGATGACGCGAACACAGGAGTTGACCCAGAATATGTTTTCTACCAGAGGAGAAACAGAATGTATGAGCTCCAGTTAAAGAATGCTATGGAACTCAACAGGAAACGTAAGAGACTAGGCGGACATTAGATTTTTACACGTAGTAAAATGGGTTTCTTCAGTAAGATAGGAAACTTCTTTCGAAATGTTGGAAGAGGTATATGGAATGGAATAAAATCTGTCGGAAGAGGAATTTGGAACGGTGTCAAAAATATTGGTAAAAGAGTAGGTCAGTTTGTTGGTATTATACCTAAAGACCCTGAACCAGAAGAGCAAGCTCCTGTTATACAACAGCCTGAACCTGCACCACAGTCTAGTTGGCAACCAAATCCAACACCTCAACCGGTATATTAAAAAGTTATATTTTTATCGTTCGATAGTAGTTGTATATGAAACTAAGTTCTAAGTAAAACGCATGGTATAATGGAATTATTCTTTTTCTTCCATCTGTAGTAAACCATACTTGAAAGTCTGAAATACTTCCACTTGGTGGTTCGTATAACTTTGTAGGTTTTTCGTAAAAGTCATTTGCCAAGCATAAGAAAGAGTTTTGGGCGCCAGAAAATGAAGCATGAACAATAATAGCAGCTGGGTCGAAAACATTTTCATATGTTCCATTAGGGTTTTCGACTTCATAATAGTCCGGGTGTACTGGATATGCTGCAGGCTGATTTAACATCCTCATAAATCTATACCATGCCAAGTTGTTATATTTTGTAGAAATATAAACGTTTTCTCCAAGGTCTTCTATTTTATTGATTTTAACAGTTGCATTTTTCCTGTCATAAATAATATCGAGATGGTATTCTCCTTCGTCAATGTTATACTGGTTTGCATATTCGATATAGATATCGTTTATTTTTTCTTGAAAAGCTTGAAGAGTTGTTTCTAAGTTTACAAGCAAACTAACTTGTAAAAGTTTCCCTGTTCAAATTTCTCATACATACGTTTTTCTTTGTTATAGTATCGAACTTCAAAACCGACCGTAAATGGGAAACCATGTATGGCTTCTGAAATGAACTTCATTCTACGAAAGCCAATAGCTTTTGTGACAGATGGGTCTCTTAGCCATCTTAATGGGTAGTCAAAACGATAGCCTTCATGCTTTACGGTCTCTGTCTCAAACTTTTGACCGACATTAGTAAAAAGTTCATCTAATGGTTTAGTTGTAGCAACTCTTGAATTTTCTTTTTCTATTGAAAGCATATTTTATCTAGAATAAAAATGTCGAAAGATATTGCTTCCATAAGAGAAATACAACACAACCGACAACTCATTATGCAAGCTCTAAATAAGAACACAACAAACTTTTCAAACTATTCTAAGATATCTGAGTCATTGAAAGAAGGAAACTTAAAACTGACATTAAACCCAATGACAGATGAGTTTCTATTTCAAGACAAGAAGAACAATACTGTCTGTATAAATCCAACAAAAGGAACTTTAAACGAGAAACCTATAAATGAACTTCTTTTGAAAGCAGATGTTGACAACAAAGCTGACAAAGAATATGTAGACGATGCAATAGCAAAAGAAGAAGAAAGAGCTAACAATGCTTATGCAACAAAAGAACATACTCATCCTGAACTAGCAGACAAAAAATATGTTGACAATAAAATGTCAAGTGAAGTGACAAGAGCTGAAAACGAATATTCTAAAAAGACTCATATACATTCTATATCTGAAATAACAGACTTACAAGAAACCTTAAACAGGAAAAGTGCCGTTGGACATACACATACTATTGCAAATATTACAAACTTACAAGAAACCTTAAACAGGAAAAGTGCCGTTGGACATACACATACATCTTCTGAAATAACAGACTTAAACGTTAGCCTTGAAAATAAAGCAGATAAAACATATGTCAATGAAATATACCAAAGTTTGATAGGAACAAAAAATATTGAAACTATTGTTGGTGACTTTTCTGTCAATGAAGAAAATAAATATTTTAGATGGCAGTTTGTACAGTCCTTAGAAAATGGTACACGGTATAAACTCATTCCGAAAAATAACAATGAAATGTATGTAAGCTATAAAAAGAATGATGGTACACAAGTTAAAGTTCCATTAGACAACAACTGCTACTTAAACTTATATGGAGACGAACAAAAGAAATATTTAAGAGTTTATGAAATGACAGATATGACATTGCCTGACCCAGCTCCAGCACCATATTATTATGACTATGGAGATGACGTCAGAACACCACATGTAGATGAACAAAAGCTAACATTATATTTAGATTATTATAGATATAAAAGATATAATGCAATAGAAAAAACGAGAATAGTATACTATTATGAAGATGACAGAAATAAATATTATAGTCAAGATTTTACCTACCCTGAAAACATAAGATTATATTATAAAAAATATTCTGACACAAACCAGAAGAAACCTGAAATAGTTGCACTATATTTTAAGTTCAAAAGAGACAATCCTATAATGTCTCATATGTTTGATTTAATGAACCCAGTAGGT